TCATGTGCAGTCTTAACTTCATAAAAACTCTAAGATACATCATGTTGCATGAACTTTTGTCGTCGATGAGGATCCCTGATATTGAGTGATATGCTATGAAGATAGTTACGACTTGTGGAAGCATCACATTAGGAGTTCCAACCATCTTCTCATGGTAAAACAAACCTAGAATAAATATATCTACTTCCTGTTTTTAGATTGTTATTATTGATGATTTGATGGAACTTACAGAAGATATGATTGGAATTAAATTATCGATGAATGCATGGGACAATCTAGATGTTGAGGGAGCTATGATACGTTATGTGGTTAAATCAAAAGTCATCTTCTTCCATCAAGTGTATATGTTGTTGTGATTCGTGATTTTGGATCATTATGGTTTTATTTTTGGAACAATCGCAGGAATCAGAAGCCCATTCCCACAGATGGTGACATTGTTTCGCTATAGAACTATAAATGCTAGGTGAAATGCAGGAATAGAGTCCTGATGACGTGGAGTAGATCTCCAGTACGATATCACGAGGGTGGACCTGCATGAGTAGCACTTCAATCTCCAAGTCAATATGAGAATATAGAGTAGAGCAAGTTATGAGTTTGAGAGAGAATACCTCAAGTCTTCTGTAAGATGTTGTCATACCCTAAATTTTACCCCCTAGATTCCATCATCATTATCATAGCATCCAACACATTTTAGGTGTGTCATTAATGCAAAGTTAACCCATAAATTATCAAAATATTGTCTTGCTTTATTTTCTTTGTGAATTAGGATTTGCATCAAGCAGATTCTTGGTTGAGCAGTCAAAGTCTTGGATTGATCATCAATATATCAAGTTCTCATGATCAAGAGCTTCCCCGCATCAACAATCAAGTATATTGTGGCCTCGTTACAAGTTCATCAAGATTCAAATTCATCTGGTCCACAAATTAGGGTTTTTGATTAAAAGTCAACTGCACCTTTGACTTTTGACCAAAACATGATTTCAAACCTTGGGATATGATTCAAGACACTCAAAGACACCTTTAGAATCCATCCATAATGTTCAAATAGTCCAAGGGTTTGATTTCATTGAAGATTACAAAGTTCAAGTCATTTGATGCAAAAGTCAACCACTGATCAAAGTCAAGTTTGACTTTTGACTTTTTGGTCAAATATGGGTTCCTCAAGTTAAGAATAATGATAATATGTGATTTGTATCATGATCAATTAAGAGAAATAAAGGAAGGTGAGGTTACTTGCAAAAAGGGCAACAATGAAGAAATTGAAATTTTTTTTCTAAGTTATGAAGATTCATGATTTTTACTCAACTTCTCAAGACCATAACTTCCTCATCAAGTAACTATTTTCTTTGCTCCAAAGAATAAATTGAAGAGCTTGTTCCATACTACAAATTTTTTTCTTTAGGATGATTTCCAAAAAAATGCATAGATTGAGAGATATGAGGTTATGAAGTGGAGGATTCTTTACTTTGTGAACCAAAACACTTAGAAAAATTTCAAGCAAAATATGCCTTGTAAAGTAGCCAACTTTGAGGCCATTTTTCACCATTATCCAAATTGATTAAAAAATAACTCAAAATGTGAAAGTTGTAGAGAATATTTCAAGCTTTTGAAAGAGTCTAAGAACATATTTGTATCATACTTGAGCTATGAGTTTTGAAGAAGAGAAGTTGGCTCCTCTGTGCTGAATTTCAAGTCATGTTCATGCCAAATCCTTGTTGCAAATCCTATCCAAATACATGAAATCTGATTTTTCAGCCTATCTTACTTGCAAATCTCCCTCTAATCAGAAAATTACTCAAGTTTATGATGCATTATCCAAGTGTTCAAAGCATTGTTTAAGAGATCATTCCATTTTGGGCATAAATATCACATTGCCATTTTGATAAAGTGACTTTAATCACAAAGTAAACTTGTATTGAGCTTCTAACTTGTTCCTTATGCACTCAGCCTTTTCCTTGCACAAAAGCAAAGTTTCTGAACTTCCAACAACTCTAGAAAGCATGGTACTATGCATTGGAACTATGTGAAACTCATGAAACTACCATTTGGATTTCAACTAAACCATTTTTCCTCAAGTTGCAATTCTGCAGAACCTTTGATCCCTCAATCTCTCTATATAAATACAGGATCTTTCCTCAGTTCAAACATGACAAAATTCACAAAGAGCCACAAAACAAGCCTCACATTAGTTTCTTGCCTCCAAACCTCATTTGTGCCAAAAAAACCTCTACTTTGCACAAACTTCTCCAAAACACTCCACAGTCACAAAATCATCAAACTAACCATCCAAGCACATCACAAAACACCTAACCAAGTTATTCAAACCTTCACCTCTATCAAACACTCCAAAGATCAAAAAGTCAACCCTCAAAACCTCATTTTTGTTTATTTTCTACACAAAGCCACCCAACTCTCCATTCTGGCCCTTTACAATCCATTCAAGCTTTCAAACACCTTCCATAAACATGTCATAAGTTGTCCCCAACCTTATTTTGCAACTGTAACACCATTTGCTGGAAGTTCCATTTTGCATTTTTTTTCATTCTTGCAAGAAGATTTGTGCAGAGTATTTAAAGTTGTTTCAAAGCAATTCAAGCATTTCAATAGCATCAAAGGAGGTCTTGGAAGTTGTTTGGATCTTTATCTTACTTCTGTAACCAGTAGAAGAAGGCATTGGACCTTGACCTAATAGGTAAGTGCACCCTCTTCTGAAACTATGTGATTCTGTTGCCATATTCATCCATGTGAGTTACCAAATTGTTTGCCATCATGTAGACGTCATAAAACCTATGCTAATTGATCCTAATCATTAATATACATGTTTTCATTTTGATTTTTTAGATTAGGGTTCATTCTGTTTCAGATTAAATTATTTGAAACGTGATGGTTTTTAGTCAAATTAAATGGTACCATTAGATTTCTTGTGAAAGATAGAGCGAGTTTGGTTTTTACATCTTTGCATTTGGTTGAGAAATCAGTGAAATAGGATTTTGAAATTTTGAAGAATGATGGAGAACTAAGGTTGAAGATAATTGGGGGGGGGGGGGGGGGGAGGTGGCGTCATTTTCTGAATAATATGTGTTTTTAATATTTATTATTTTGTTTGGGTATTATGGACGGCTGAGGCATTGCGCCATAATGGAGAAAGCTTGTGTTTGGGAGTGTGATGCATGTACAAGGACTAGGGTTCGAATCCCCCTCACCTCAATCCATTTGATTGTTTTTATTTTTTATGTTTTATATGTTAGTTTCAAATATATTGCATTGCGCGCATGTTTTATCTGGGCCATAGTGTACTTTAATCCACATTTTTTCAAGTGTACTTGTCTTGTTCTTTCATCTTTGATTATGAACTTTTTATTTGACTTTAGCATGATAATTGTACCACATTAGGCCTGTTTGTTATGAGTTTGAATCACCTTTGATCACATGTTCATTATTTGCCTTAGCTTTGATACCATGACTTTGTTTGGTTCTTGAACTTCTTGCTTATTAGGTTTAAACCTTTTTGAAATGCTTAGACTTGATTGTGATCATAATGAACCCTTTGACATGAACCTTTGGTTGTTACCTTATATCTTGAGCCATGTCTAAATTTATTAATGATTAACTAGTGTTCTAACTTGATTTTCATGATGTTTTGATATCATAAATTGTATTCATGATTAACTGGTGTTCTAACTTGATTTCCATGATGTTTTGATATCCTAAATTGTATTCATGATTAAGTGTTGTTAGTAAAATACTAAACCATGTCCTAGTCTTGACCTAATCTCATGCTTACCCCATATGTTTCATGTTTGAATCATTTCTCTAGGTGTTGATACTTATTTTATTCCTTGTTTGGTATTGTTATATCCATGTTGATTTGAATCCTTATTTGATATTGCTATATCCATGTTGATTTGAATCCTTGTTTGATATTGTTACATATCCATGTTGATTTGAATCCTTCCTTGAACTTTTTCATCCATGATTCACATTTCCAAACCCAAAAGAATAACATTTCCAAACATTAGCAAAGCAAATTACCATAACACAAAAACTTTCAAGAGGTTCCTATAGGATACTATAGATATTTATGGTACTAATATCTTTTTTTAGTATAACTAACCCCCGAACCTTTAGATCTCTTCGCATTGTTGTTACATTGTACAATTAGAGTTTTATTCAATCTTTTTTCTTTTTTTTGGATAAATTAAAGTTCGGTAATGAAAATTTAATGTTTTATGATTCAAATTAATATAATAGTTTGATATATGATTCTCATCGTAACAAATGCTTTATATATAAATGATGGATATGGACATTCTATACCGTGGAGCGTGAAAGACCATTTGATAACATCTAAGAGTGTGCATCAATCTCTTATGTGGATCTAATGCAAAACTCTAGAGTTGAGTTCTATTGTATCTTCCCTTTAATGAAGTGGTCAGGAATGGTGATTGAATTTTTTCAATTGTGTATATATTGATAATTTTTATAAATGAAATACAAAGAATTCCTCCACATTTTTATTATTAAGTAATTTATATTTATCAGCTAAAACTTCTTTATTGTTTATCCTTCATAAAGATCATCCCTAGAACACAACTGATCGTGAGAGATTCTTTTTTTTAGTCAAAACCAGCACATCCATTAACATGCTCCTTACTTTACTCAAATATAAGTTTGGAATTAGTTGAAATTGGGATTTAAATATATAAATATATCGATATACTCAATGAGCTTGACATAGTAAACCACAATTATTTATTCAGTTTTCACACATAAAGTCAAAAATTTGTATTCTTCAACAACTTGCTCATCAATTTGCCACAGGATAAGCTTAACTACAAACTACCGTCCCCTTAAAATTCAAAGCCGCGTGCTACATTGCTAGGAAGGTTCATAATTCATTCTTTTATTAATATTTTTTCTCACATAACTAAACCATATTATTATAAATTGAGTTTCATATAGTTCTCTAATTTACACGAAGCTAACTATAGCCAATAAACATGGCATGGTCAACCTCAACCTCTTCCAATACTCCTCAACAAAAGCATGAAGTGTTCCTTAGCTTTAGAGGCGAGGACACACGCTACACCTTCACTAGCCACCTTCATGCTACTCTAACCAGACTTGACGTCGGAACCTATATAGACTACAATCTCCAACGAGGAGATGAGATATCGTCGGCTCTTCTTAAGGCCATCGAAGAGGCGAAGCTTTCCGTCGTTGTTTTTTCGAAGAACTACGGAAACTCTAAGTGGTGTTTGGATGAGCTTGTGAAAATACTTGAATGTAAGAAGAAAAATGGACAAATTGTTTTGCCTATTTTTTATGATATAGAAGCTTCTCATGTACGCAACCAAACAGGAAGTTACGCGGAGGCTTTCGCTAATCATGAGAGAAGATTTCAAGGGAATATGCAGAAGGTGCAAAAGTGGAGGGAGGCTTTAAGAGATGCAGCCAATCTCTCGGGTTGGGATTGCTCTGTCAACAGGTAATTATATGTGTCCGTCTCAGTATCAGTGTCTCTGTATCGATTTCTGTGTAATTATTGGTGTCTGTGTCTGTATGTGTGTCTGTTGTACTTCGTAGCTTATTAGATCATTTTAAATCACACATTAAGATGATTTTGTTAACCATGATGATGATTACATGTATACTTGTTGCAGGGTGGAATCTGAACTTCTTGACAAAATTGCAAAGGATGTAATTGAAAAACTAAATCGAGTATACGTTGGAGATCTAGACTATCAGATTGGAAAATTGGAGCAACTTGCAACGCTGCAATATCAATTCTATCATAGCATTATTACTGTTGATAATCTGAACAAGTATAATGCAACTGTTAAACGTATTACAGAACTTAAAATGGAGAGAAGTCTTCGCTTGCTTCGCATGTCACCTGAGATGCTTTCACATTTGGGGTAGTGTGAGAATAATGATGATTTTCCATTTTTAATGTATGAGTTATATGAGAAATTAATTGCTGTCGTTAATTTTATGAATTTCAAATTTTATGAATTATTGTTATTCTATTATATTCCACATGTCAAATGTCTTCTAAAATTATGGGAAAATTATTATTATTATTATTATTATTATTATTATTATTATTATTATTATTATTATTATTATTATTATTATTATTATTAAATTTTGTTTGTTTTATTCATTTTAAATTAATTTATATTAAGAGATTAATTTATATGCACTATCACTATAAAAAGTTATATCTCTCAATTCTTCATCATTCGTTTGCATTATTTTATAAAAGATTAAAATAAGGAGATTAATTATAATACTTTAGTGTAAAATTATTCTACACTGACATTCAATTAGAATGCACCACTTTGACACATGAGAAGAGAGAAACGTTGGAAGACTAATTATTAAAATAATTTATTTATAATTTATTTTTTATATTTTTAATTTCACAATTATATGTCAAAATAATTTATTATAATTGACTAAAAGTGTAAAATAATTTTACACTGACTGTATACTCCAATTAATCTCTAAAATAAAAGTCAAAAAATTTTACAAACATCCAGTATTTATATTGATTGATTATGTAAAATCTTTTTACATTTAATATATTTTAATTAAATTCTTATATTAAATATTGTTTTCATAATTTAGTTTTAATTTCCGGAGCAAAATAACTCCATGGACATTAAGATGTCGTATCGACTCATATTGTGTAATAAAAAGGTAATAATTTGATACTCTTATGCTATATGCATAAGGATTTTCTATAAAAGTGGTGTTATATATATATATATATATATATATATATATATATATATATATATATATATATATATATATATATATATATATATATATATATATATATATATATATATATATATATATATATATATATATATATATATATATATATATATATATATATATATATATATATATATATATATATATATATATATATATATATATATATATATATATATATATATATATATTAGAAAGATCTCATTTATTTCTATTAAAATCTAAGATAATTTATTGGCATATTGTCCCACCAAGTGGAATGTATAATTGTTAGGTCCAAGTTATCAAATTTACTTATTGTTGACTCTTAATTTCGACGTTTGAATGAAGTTAAAAATAACAAATAGAGTTTTCTGAAGAAATCTAACTACTTCGACTAGAGTCATGTTTTAAAATAAGAGTCAAAGGCGTCCTTTCGCAAGGAGGGTCTATGTTATGAACTTAGAGATATTCCTCAACAGTTGGAAGACCCGATTCGACAGAAGCGTTACTAGAGGTATTTCGACGAGTTCGTTTGAATTTAAATAAAAGAGAGAAAGTCTGATTTTTAGAAAGACACGTGGAGCGCCCATATGATTCGAAGGAATGCACAGCAACACTTGTCTTGATTTCGTTTGTTAGTCGTTAATCGCAGTTATGTTTGATTGTTATAAATAGCAGGTCTTAGTGTTAAGATTGGTGTGTGTTCAATTGTGTACAAAATTTTCATTTACTCCAAGTATCCATGTGATTGAGAGAAACGAGTTTGTAAGAATGTATGTTAACTAAACACCCATTTTCATTTCAATGCAATTTAACAAATCTCTTTATTTAAGAATTTATCTTTTCTTTATGCAAATTCTTATCTTTGTCATTTACCAGCATTTCGATTTCACTTACTGTCACTTAAATTCATTTACATTTGAAATAAGTTTCCTTATCATGGACTCTGTCAAAGTGTTCATAGTTTTCATAAACTTTGTCTAAGATCAATTAGCACATGTCCTAGGATTTGTTTGGTCGATCCTGCAAGTAAAATAGATCTCTTTTCGATTTGTAAGACCAACGGTTGTTCACCAATTTTTACGGTGAACACCTATATAGTGGTTGTCCTTTCTATGGTTGGATGGTACTGCTTCATCTAAGCCACTCATTTTAGTCTTTTATAAAAAATCATCAATATTAATTAATGCATAGATGGCTAAGATTGGAGCACCATGAAAAATATGAGAGACGGAGTAGGAGAGGATTTATTTTCGGTAATCGAAAAACATAGACTTTATTCCAAACAGTTTTTCCACATTATTCTAATACGTCAAGGAACAAAAGAGGACTTGTCGCATGCCAATACAACAAGGATTGAATCGGTTTCTAGCCAAAATCCAGTCTACTTCTTTGAAATAACATGCTTCGTAGCTATAATAACTCACATGAGTTATGCGAAAAAGGTGTTATCCAACCCCACATTATAAGAAAAAATATCCATGTGGTTAGACAAATGGTCTCTAAACATGCCTTCACACACTAAAAAAGGTCGAGCGCTCGTAGAAGTACCATCTTTGTTTATCTTGATCCAATCGAGCAAAGGGAAACACCAAATTATTTATTTAGCAAAGTCGTTCTTTGAAATGTTTGAGATTGCGTTGGATAGATTTCTAAAAGTACAAACTTGGGATAGAATCCAAGCTATTAATGAGGTTCTTCAATGAGTAATTGTATCATTGAATTTGACTTGGTTTCTAGCCTTCCAATTACCAATTATAGCTACTAGTAGGATCACCCAACATTGCTTAGACCAGTGATATCTAAGTAATTCCCAATAGTTTTGAATTGAATAAATAGATTGCTAACATTAATAACCAAACCCAAAATTTCCTTGAGTAAGAGCAACTAAAACAACAAGTGCTCTCATGTTTCAGCATTATTGTGACAAAGATTATGGACAGAGGTCATATGCACCCCTCTTTTGGCGACCATGTCATCTGTTGCCCACTTATCTTAGACCACTCACAACAACAAGGATTTTGTTGTGAAATGATGACATCAATAACATAACAAAGTTATGAGATAAAAATTAGAGTTTTTTGAACAAACACAAGAAACCCTATTACAAACGGAAGAGAAGAAGGAAGAAGAAGAATAGAGAATTGGTTAAAACTGTTTTACTATTCACTTTTTCAATAAGGATTCCAAGATTACAAGTGAGTACCAATAATTATCCTCACACCGTAATTAGGATTTACACCACTCTACAAAGACGAGAGACTAGCATGTTATTTAACATACTAACCTAATGGGCTTTTACACACAGGCTCATTACACAAATAACTTAGGGAACAAGCTAACTTAAACAATTCGACTTACAAGCAAGGTTTAATTCGACATACTAACTTAAATTAAAATTTAATATATTTCGACAACATGCTTGAATAGACTTCGACTACAGCATGCACAACTCATGCCGAAATATCAAGTTACCTTTGTCAACACTAGAGTTCGATCCAAAATACCAAAAATCTCCACCTTAGAACAAACTCTATACAAACAAGGGAACAAACTACCTTTCATCATCTATGGTCCTTTCAACGCTTCTAATAAATCCTCTTGAACAAGAAGGGCTTGCATCTTTAAGCGCCACAAACAGAAATCATTCACACCGGTGAATTTCTCAATCTCATACTTTGTTGACGGCATCTTCTCTTCCACGTTCACCGCACCAGTTTGTTGTGAAACGATGTCGTTAATAACAGAACAAAGTAATGAGATAAAGGGTAGAGTTTTTTTAAACAAACACAAAAAATAATATTAGGTTTTATAAAAGGGATAGAAGAAGGAAGAAGAAGAATAGAAAATTCGTTAAAACTGTTTTACCATTCACTTTCTCAATAAGGGTTTAAAGATTACAAGTGAATACCAACAATTAACCTCTCTCACCTTAATTAGGATTTGTACCACTCTACAAAGATGAGTCTAGCATGCTATTTATAATAAAAGTAACATACTAACCTAATGGTCTTTTACACATAGGCCCATTACACAATTTAACTTAGGGAACAAACTAACTTAAACAATTTGAATTACAAGCAAGACCCAATTCGACATACTAACTTAAATTACAGGTTAATATATTTCAAAAGCATGCTTGAACAGACTTCGACTACAGCATGCATAATTCCTATCAAAATATTATGTTACTATTGTCGGCATTAGAGTTAAATCCAAAATACCACTGATTTAAATAGATGTATGGTTGGATTCCATATGATTTTGCCCCATTGCTTATCCTGATTATTTATTACTTTGAAAGAGTAGGAAATTTTAAGAGTAAACGGACCAATAGGTTCAGAACACCATACTCTTTTATCACTAGAGCCATCATTTGGAATAATGGTATTCAGAATAAAGATATTAAGTTGGGGAAGCTATTAAGCAGGTATTAAGGAATTTTGAGCTTGTGATTCTCAATAAAATTACCAACTGTGGCTTTCAAATGCAATTGAGGAGGGATTTTCAAAGTAGATGCCAAATATCGCATACTCCATCTATCAAGCCAAAATTTCACACTATCTCCATTACCTATGAGCCAGGTTGATTGGGATTTATACTCCTCATAGGTTTCTTTCATACCAATCCAAATGAAAGAGAAAATGTGGTGATTGATTTTACAACCTGATTTGATCACCCTACTTCTCAAAATGTCACTGTAAAAAAATTTACATTGTCAACGCATCATTATTATCTGTTCCCATTATTTTTTCGATGGTTAAAATAAAAGTCAAACCTCTTTTAACATTCAACTTCTATAATTAACTGAAAGTGTAAAATTCTTTTACACTATTAATGTATTTCAATTAAATTTTTAAAACTTTTTACTGCATTATATATTTGAGCTTGCATTAGATTAATAAATATATTATTTGTATACCATTTTCTATGATTTTGTTATTAATAATGAAATTCTTACAGGATTGATACATAGCATAACAGAGCAATCTTTTTGTGAAACTAAAATTTACAAAGTACCAATAACATATATACTAAACGTTTGTTTAATTAATTTGGTTTGGTTCTTAAGTTTTTGTTTGGTTAACTGCGGTTTAGATTGATTATTAAATTATTTAACAAATAATGGTTTGGTTCATTAACTAGACGTG